TGTAATACACTTTATCATCAATATACAATTCAAACTTTTTGCTTTTTACTTCCTAAAACTTCTGCTCAACTAAATTTGTTTTTAAGATTTTCTTTTTCTGAAATATGAGAAGAGGATCCAGATTGATTTTGCTGAGTGAGTGATTATATATTTTATATATTTTATACAAGATTTTAGAATAGTTCTCACGGGGTTCCATTAGAACATATCCCCTTCCCTCCCTTACAAATTATTTTCTTCTCCCCATTCACACAGACAGACTTATAGCATATTTTTTGTTTGTGCTTTTTCAGAGGAAGAAATATGGAAAACTATTTATTGCAAAAACGAAACAAAATGCTTGTGTTTGTGAACATCATGTTTGAAAACATCTTGTTTGTAGACATCATGTTTGTAGACATCATGTTTGTTAACATCATGTTTGTAAACATCATGTTTGTAAACATCATGTTTGTAAACATCATGTTTGGAAACATCATGTTTGGAAACATCATGTTTGTAAACATTATGTTTGTAAACAAATTGTTGGTAAACATCTTGTAACCTAATATTCGAAAATTTAACAAGATCGAATTTTTCATAATTTTACGAACATCTTGTTTGTAAACATCTGGTAAACAAATAGTTACAACAAACGTTATGTTTGTGAATTTTTTTTAAAATTTAATCTATTCAAATTATCGAATATTCTGTTATAAGTAGCAGTGCAGGGGGTAATTTCTAATTACTGAATTTTCAAAAAATTAAGTTTCTGAGGATGTTGGATATTTTGAGCACTCTTAACCCGGGGCTTATCCCATTCAAGGGCTAATAACTTAATTTATGATGAATGGATGCCACAGGTGGTTGGAAGGGGGGGGATAAAGAAAAGAATTTGACAGGGCAGAGGGGAGGGATTTGGTCAATCCTGCGGATAATTTCTCCGATTCCTCAAACCTTTTCCCTCTTCACATTCTTCTGATTGTTATATCGTTTTATCATTCTTCTTTTCATCTAAAACACTTGAAGGGACAGCAAAAGTTATTTCAAGCGACTAGCCATTTCTAAAGTGACATGGCCGACTCACATTGGTGCTTTTTTTAAACCAGAGTGCATGAGATATCCATAGATTTCTTCTTGAAAGTGGAGGTTTATCAATTGTTTTTGTTTCTCTATTATTTCTTTATTTTATTTAAAAACACTCAAAGTGTTATCATAAAGTTGTTTCCAGTTTTCAAAATTTTCATTCTGTCAATTCTGAAAAAAGAGTGCTTAAAATCATTTTGCAGATTTTAAATTTTACTTTTGCAGATCGGAAGATAACTCGAAGCACGCATATTCTATTTCATAATTCTTTCAAAGCTGAGTGTTTTTATCTCTTGCATTAGATGCTTTTACTTATTTAAACCATATTAAATCAAACACAAACTTGAACTCGAAACAAAACAAGTAAATCTTCATTACTTTACAAATTGATTTTAGCAAAAATACATTTCTCGAATTTTTAAAATTTAACCTTTATTTCATATATAGTTTGTGATATGAATTAATCTTATGTTTTTCTCATTGCTGTATATGATATATCTCATCTCGTGATACAGTGAAACCCTTAATAACGAATACATCGGAAGAATTTATCAAATGTCGTCTTGACAATTTTTCAATGAGTTTTATACTATATGACATTAATTTCAGTATTTGCGAAAATAAATAAATAGCCATGAATATGCAGGAACAGTTTTAAAGAGTTCCATTTAATCATTTAATTAAAAAACTAAATATCTGCAACATTCCATTATCAGAAAATGAAGAATACGACATTTGATGAATTCTTTCGATGTATTCGTTATTAAGGGTTTCACTGTATAATAGTCGTTCTTAGTTTGGAGTGACTTTATTTTCATTTTGTGTTATTACAGTTTCGTGTTTAGATTTATATGTCATAGTTAAAAAATGTCTCAATATGACATGATTTCCGTTCTTAGTTTATTGTGTCTCACTCAATAGGACATGATTTCCGTTCTTAGTTTAATGTGTCTCAATATGACATGATTTCCGTTCTTAGATTATTGTGTCTCATTATGACATGATTTCCGTTCTTAGTTTAATGTGTCTCACTCATTATGACATGATTTCCGTTCTTAGTTTATTGTGTCTCAATATGGCATGATTTCCGTTCTTAGTTTATTGTGTCTCATTATGACATGATTTCCGTTCTTAGTTTAATGTGTCTCACTCAATATGACATGATTTCCGTTCTTTGTTTATTGTGTCTCAATATGGCATGATTTCCGTTCTTAGTTTATTGTGTCTCAATATGACATGATTTCCGTTCTTAGTTTATTGTGTCTCAATATGACATGATTTCAGTTCTAAGTTTATTTGTCTCAATATGACATGATTTCAGTTCTAAGTTTATTTGTCTCAATATGACATGATTTCAGTTCTTAGTTTATTGTGTCTCAATATGACATAATTTGCGTTCTTAGTTTAGTATTTCTCAATATGACATGATTTCCGTGCTTAGTGTATTGTGTCTCAATATGACATGGTTTCAGTTCTTTTTTTGTGTCTAATGCTTAAATATCATTTCTATTCTAAGTCTCAATATGTTTAGGTTTTGTTCTTCTATAACAGAGGGCTCCCCCAAAACATTAAATAAACCTGAGGGTTTCAAAAGTGGAGAAACCAGTGATTAAATAAAAAAGATACAGAGGGTCCCCCAAAACATTAAATAAACCTGAGGGTTTAAAAAGTGGAGAAACCAGTGATTAAATAAAAAAGATACGGAGGGCTCCTCCAAAACATTGAATAAACCTGAGGGTTTTAAAAGTGGAGAAACCAGTGATTAAATAAAGCGTAAAGAGTTTTTGTCTTGCCAATTATAATGAAGGATAAAGAGTTAATATTCTCACCAGTTATTTCATAATTCAGATTTCATAAATAAAAGGACAAACAAAAATATTAATATATTTTTCAATGTATACGTATTATATATATTATACATATACAATATATGAGGACTGAAGAGGTAGAAAATCTTGTTCATTTTGCCTTCACCAATTTTTTTTGTGGGGAGGGGGAATTCTTTATTTTAGCGTTCATGGATACTGAATACATATTCATTTTATATTCTTTTTTAGGCGATATTGAGGTTCATAGTGCATAGTTTTGCTATGGGGGGGGGGGGACAAATCCAAATTTAAGATTTTTATTTTAAAATTCGTGGATTTTCAAAATTTTATGTAAATCAAATTTGGTTGGAGGAAATTTTTTTAAATTTTGATTATTCATAAACCTTCCCTGGGGTCGTGTGAAGTCTCGTGTACAAAATTTGGGCCCGATCGCTTCAGCCGTTTATTGGATACAAACAAACACCAAACAAGCAAAGTAAAATAACTATAGGCTACCTTCTATTTCATTTGTGAACATTTTCTCTTTGTATGCATTGTAAAACAAAAACAAACGAAAATTTCGCGGATTTTATTTCGTGGGGTCATGTGAGGTCCCACCAGTGGCGTAAATAAGGGGGGTTATTGGGGTTATTTACCCCCCCCTAGAATCCTGGGGGTAAATACCCCCCCCTAGAATCCTGGGGGTAAATACCCCCCCCTAGAATCCAGGGGTTAAATACCCCCCCCTAGAATTCTAGGGGTAATTACCCCTGAACANAAAGTAACATCTTTTTCCTCTTAGAGTAAAACTATCATTATTATTTTTGTTAAACTTAAATAAATTCAGTTTTTTTACAGATCTTTGTAGTTAATGTAAAATGAATGACTATAATGAAAGATATGAAACAAGGTCAAAGCTGAAAGGTATGTCATGAAGCCTTTATTAGATTGAGTTTGGAAATCCCAGAAATGAGTGGAAAATGCAAATCAACCCCAATTAAAACCAATAATTTGATATACATCATGATATTTTTCTAGGGGGGGGTAAAAAAAATTCTAGGGGGGGGAAAAAAAAATTCGGCGCGCTTCGCGCGCCAAATTAAAAATATTTACCCCCCCCTACAGAATCCTTATTTACGCCCCTGGGTCCCACGAAAAAATTGGGCCTGATCGGTTTTGTCGCTTTTACGATTATTGGATACATACAAGCAAAGTAATATATAGAATATAGATACTAGAAATTGGCAAGTCACTTTATGTGAAATTAAATCGCAAAGGATACACACAATCTCAATATTTGAAAGCATGCGTTATTTTTTGGGACAAACATGGTTATTTTTAAATTTTTTTATAAATTGAATAAACTGAATTTTTGCTAAATCTATAATCTTATTTACTTTATAGCCAGATTTACTTCAATATATTCGTTAAATTTAGAAATATTTGTGATTTTTTCTTGACAAACATTCATATTTAAATTATTTTAACTGAATTTAACTGTTGAGCTGGTCTATCTATCTATCTGTGGATTAAGTTTATAACTAATATAAACTTAATCTATCATCTCTACATCAAGACCTTTCCGTTCCAATAACCGTCTTCTCCGGGCCTATCCTGCATTCATTCATTCTTAGATTTAAACACATAAACTGAGCTAGGAACTTATAAATACGATAAAGTTAAGCTGTTTTCACTTTTATATCACTAGAAACTCAAGGCGCTTCGCGCCCTTCTTTCTAGCCTTAGAGGGCGCTTCGCGCTCATCTTCTAAATTAGTTGTGAACATGTTCTCTTTGTGTACATCGTAAAACAAACAAAAAATAATTCGCGGATTTTTACAAAAAATTTCGCGGATTTTCAAAATTTTTAAAAATTTAATGACGATCGAATTTTGATAGAGACAAATATTTGAAATTTTTATTTTTCATAAACCTTCCCTGGGGTCCCTAGATGTCCCACAAAAAATTTGGGCCCGATCGGTTCAGCCGTTTTGACGTTTATTGGATACAAACAAACAAACAAACAGACAAACAGACAAGCCAAATTTATATATAGATAAGCAAACTAAAAACTTTTAGTTTAAGAGTTACATTCGTTAGATTCGGCAATGTGCTCTGCCTATAATTCAAAAGGTTCCGTCTTTGGTATTATAATACAAAAAAATCAGGGATTGATAAAAATGATAAAAATGAGATGATATTTATTTAAAGCTACTAATTTGGTTTATAATCAGAATGTATGCATCAGTAAATTAATTAGTCAAGAACAAGCTTAAAAGATAAATATTAAATAACTATACACCAATCATAACCTATATAATCATATTAATGACATTTGATAAAATTTAGAGGGTTTATCTAAACCCAAATGTGACTGATTGATTAACTCGAATGTTAAGTTAAACGAAGAAACCTCTAGATAAGAGGCTTCCTGAGATGTTTCGGTTGGTTTTCCACTAATCTAATGTTTTGGCAGATTTTCCATCTCATTTGATTTCAAGGATTTTATTTAAATCCCGGATTTTCTTATCGTATCGCATTTCATGGATTTGCGGGTTTCATTCTCCGTCTGAGACTCTCAGCTCATTATCTATTCAAGACTGTTCTTTATCTCATTGGTAGGATTTAGAAAAGAAATTCTTTCCGTTTTAACAAATTTAATGTTTTTTTTCGCGCTTTTGACTAAGTAAACTGATATTCGGAATTCACATGATAATTTTTCCGTCGAACATTGTTTCCGGCAAGTTCATTTTCTCTGATGATATCCTCGATTTTCTTAATATTCGTCCTACTCAGGATATCACATCGTCCTTGCTTCCTCATGCTTCCATAGTTTGAAGTTTTAGGGAAGCAGAGGTCGTTATAACTGACCGGCGGGGTAGCTACTCGTCCCCTCATACACTCCTGCAATACAAATACAATTAAACGATTAAATTTAGGAATTCGGAGACTTATTAATCTGAAATAAGAGCTTTATGCCAGTTTTATATCCCAGGGTTTAAATATTTTCTTTTTATTGTGGCGGGGGTTAACTTTAACTCTCTCCCTTACCCCCCGAAGGAGATTGGGAGGAGGGGGGGGGGGGGTAATAGACCGATTTATCAGTTAATTGTTTTACGGGGTTTATTTGTCGGTGAGGAACATTAAAAATTATGATTTTCGGTGAAGTTTGTTCAATGTCTTAAATCTGAGATGGTGGAATGAATGATATTAATGATGCCTGAATGTATTCCCATGGTAGATTTTGAGGTTTATAAGATGGGTAAACATCGTAAACATCCGCTTAACTCATTTATTCAGGGGTAAATATATATATATAAATACTTATTAAAATTCAATTCATGATTAGACTTTTTTTTCATATTTTTATGATAATATTTGAAAAACATTTTTAGAATTGTCAAATATATCAAACCCTGTGCACCCCTTAATTTTGAGGAAGTGGAATGAGGTCGAAGGGGTCGGAAGGGTGGANGGGGCTGTGGTGTCACACAACGCAAATATATGTCAGGTTTAGGTTAAGAGAGATAGAAAGAGAGCAAAAAATACATAAACTGTAATGATAAAACAAATTGGAATTAAGTATTGCCCCTTATTAAAAGTATCTAATTGTAGAGTGACTGTGAACTAAATAGACAAAAGGAGAAAATCAAATTTAATTCCTGTAATTTTTATTTTACGCACAAATATTTGAAAAAACCAATTTAACCAGTTTTTCAAATTAGAAATTCAAAACATTTTTGTTCTTCTCAATATCTCTTTAATAAAAGGAGTTATATGACTCCAGAATTATTTAGATATTTTTAAAGAATTTGATTTGAGAAATTGAAAAGTAAGTAGGCAAAAGGAAGTAAGTCGGGTGGTCGACTGACGGGGGAAGGGGGGGGAGGAGGGGACTACTTGACATATTATAAATCATCTTCAACCTTAATTCTGACAGTTAGATTATAAAGTAGAGTTCATTAATAACAATAATATTAATTATTAACAAAAATAACAACACTTTTACAAAAACAACATTTTTTTTAATTTTGAAGAAAGGATAAATGTTTGTTCGCGGCCTGGTGTATATAGAAGAGATGGAACTAGAATTGTATCTCATTATGGAATATATTTACCAGAAACTGTTGATAGAAAACTTTCCGACAAAACTTTATATTGCAGAGGATAAATCAAAACATTGAGTCTTGTAATACCTTTACAAGTTACATTTACAAATAAAAGAAACAGAAAAAAAATAAACTTGAAGGAGTGAAAACAAAAGATTGAAGAAAGGAATTAAAATGTTTGACACAAGAAAAGACAATATTATTCGTGAAGAACTTTTTAAACCTGTTTTAGATAAAGATGAAAAAATATATATGTAAACCATGAAAAATTGTTGTAAATAAGATTTTTAAAAGATGAATATAGGTAAAAAAAAGACTTGTCAAGCTTCTAATAACTAATTGTCTAATAAGAATAAGATTATGTAAAATTTAAAGATAGCTTCAATTTTTTTGGACACCCTGTACTTAAGAGATCAGGCATAAGTGTTGGGAAGTACATAATGTGAACCCGAGAACGCGATTAATCGTAATCTCAAAATCTTTGTTTTTGCAAACATTGGTGAAAAAGCGTAATTATGGGAATCTTTAGCTTTGTTCCCAGCCCCCCCTTTGACCCCGAATTCCGAGTTGAGTCGGCGGAAACTCGTGATTTAAACTCCTAAAAAAATCTAGTTTTTCACAATTCAAAATCCGGCAAATGAGGTCGGAGGGAAATGTGAGAAGGAAAGGTGGCGAAAAAATTTTATTCGAGCGATGGGGGAACTGAAGGGGGGGCAAGGGAAAGGGGTAAAAAGGGGGGAACCCATTTACATTTTAAAAACTAGGTGTTTTCTCTCACGCTCCTGCTAACCAACATCCATCCATTAAACAAACAAACACTCACACACAACACATACATTACAATTATTAGGACTTAAAACAAACCCCAACCCTTCTCTCCTTCTCTCCACCCTGTGGCAATAGAAATTTCCGGATAGGGCGGAAAGGGTTCAACTAAATAGGGATTAAGGATTTCGCAGGAAGAAGGAGAGGGGAGAGAACCCGACCCCCCTCCCCTTTCCACCCTCATTGTCGTTTATATATATATGTGATATATATTCTTTCAGAGATATTTAGTTTATGATTTAAATGATAAATGTCGATCCAACGTTTTTTAATCATCAAACCGCAGACTATAAAATATTTATGAACCCAATCTGATTGATATATTGTCTGGAAATTAAATATTCGAGAAAAAATAAAAAAAATAATTAGAAAATAAAAATAAAACAATAAAAACTAAAATACCTGTGAAATCGATATATCCTCGGTAAACGAAACATTTTTCTTATCGCAGTGATTTTGAATAAGATCAGGAGTAAATCCCGGAGAAACAGCTCTGGACGCCGGGGAGCAGGGTCCGGGGGACGCAACACTTCGTCGGGGAGACGTAGAGCTGTGACGTGTGTTAAAACTAAGAATACTGTGCTGTGTACTAGCGCTAACAGCGCTGTGAGTGCTCAATCCGCTGTGCGATGTGTTATGACTGGACGTTGTTGCTGTACTCTGATGTGTAGCTGTACTTTGCTGTGTCTGTGCAGTAGATGTACTCATCTCGCTACGTTCAGTGTCACTATTAACACTACCGGTACTCCAAACCTCTACGGATCCACTAAAAAGAAACAAAAAAAAATAAATATAAATAAAAAAAAAATTAAGAAAAATAAATATGACAGAACTAACAAAGAAAGAAAAAAAGAAAAAAAGATAAATGAATAAGTATGAATGGGAGCCCATCAAGTTTTGACCACTACAATTAGTTCACTGAATACACATGAAAACTATTCCTAAATCCTCCAGCCAAAAATAGATTGCGAAGAGAAAATAAAAATGGCTGCAAAAGAAAACACGTTACAGTCTACAGACAGACGTCTATAGTAAATACTAGAGTAATATAGAAATAATAATAATTTAATATTGACGAAATATATCGGACTTATAAATTTATTTTGTTATAAAAATATAAAGCATGGGGGAGGGGAGTTGAAAATATATATTTTTTCTTTCTTTCTGCTATTCCCTCGGATAGAAATATATTTACTTCCCATGTCTACAGACGGATAATGAACACGAATAAAGAAAACCATTATTGAACTTATTATAGAAAAAACAGANACAACTAGACAATGACGGATCACTGCATTATATATTATTAACATGGTAAAACTTTTTAGACTTTTTAAAATTTCAAATAAAGTTTGTAATTTCACAGAAAGGAAAAGTTTTTGCAAAATATGATTTCAAAGGTTTCTAATATTTATGAAAGTATATATGTAAGTTTGAAGGAAAATTATATTTCTTAGATAATACTTTAAAAGTTAAAAATAGCTTATCGGAAATTACATTTCTTTTTCCATTAAAATAGTTTTATTCAAGTTATGGCTTGATATTAAAACAAATTAAAACTTTTTTGCAAATTTTTGCGTGCACCGAAGAAGCTTGCAAAATAATTGAAAAGTTTTTGAAAGGGGCGTGTATTGATTGACGGGGGGGGGAGTATATATTAAATAAATAGGAATCCTACTGTAAACATTTACATTCTCCTCTTCTTACACATTATACAAGAGAAAACATTAATATTTCCCATAGATTCCTCCAGATATAAACTACATATATTAGATATTAACCTAAACCTAGATTTGTAACCACAACCCCCTTTTCCTAGAAATCCGTCAAAAGTCTTGGAAATTCCCGCATTTTTAACAATTATATCTTGCTCCTGAAGCCCCGAAAATTACATAAATGTTGGTCTTGAACCCTTGGTTTACAGGTGCTATTGTGAAAAATATAATTGGTGGCAATCTACACACTAGTATACAGGCGTAGATTACTCAATACAAGGACAAAACAGAAAATAGAACCATTAAATTCCAGGATAATTCCAGGGGTTGGGGACTCTCAGGATGTCTAACCTTACTTACTCCTTGAACTTATGATAGTTCTTTGAAAACTGAGAAACCAAATCAAAAATGTGTTTTTATTTCTCAATAATCATGAAATGGAATGGAATGTCATGAAAAACAAATCCCAAAATTCCCACATAAAAAGGGGGAAGAGCTGACAAGGGACATTTTTTTAATGGATTTTAAAAAGTGAGAGTTTTGCTTCCAATCCCTGCTAATGGTATAGATAATTATATTATTGTATTCGTTCATGATTCTACACACACTGATAACGATCTTGATAATAATAGGACTTTTGTAAATCCAATAATCTACGATATAGCATGTTATTACAAGGTATTGGGAGAAGGATATGCAATCAACTTATTGTAGAAAGTGTAAAACAAAATTTAGTAAAAAAAGAACAGGGTTCAGATCAAGAAGAAAGGAAGTGAACGGGTTCAAATTATACAGCAAACTATACAGAGATTGATTCGATATATTCGGATTTGTAACTTGTAAAAAATACTTTAATTCTCACCTTTCTTGATCCCTCTTCTCAGCCTTGTTATTTCGGGAACACTTCGCACAACAGCAAATTAGGAAAAGTAGAACTATAAGTATAGTCAATCCTCCACCGATTACTCCACCAATCAATGTCTCTTTTCCCAGAAATGCACCAATTTTAACCCTAACCGTATGAATCTCTCGGCCATGTTCATTTTCAAAATGGACGACATACTCTGCTCGATCCTCATCCTTCACCTCTGCAATCTCAAGGGTGGAGAGGTAGCAATTAGATTTCGCAGATTTAGTTGCGTTTAGAACTTTGTATCCTTCATGAGAGGAGCCTTCGCTGATGAGGATTTTCTGTCCGGGGTTGCTGTCGATATGCCATGTCTGCTTGGGGAGGGGGTCGGAGCAAAACTCAACAGAGACCTGTCCTGTCAAACCTCGGGTAACATAGACTTCGGACACCTTTTCAGTCACTTTCGGAGACCCATACACGTCAACCTGAATTTAATTAACATTTTAAACTTGAAGCAAATTAAAAGTTTAAAGTTATGTAATTAATGCGTTCTACAAAAAATACCAACCAAGATTAGTGGAATTTTGATAAGTTTGTTTTATGTAAAAGGGGGCAATTTGGATAAAAAGGGTAATAAAGCAACCAATTAACAGCAGTATACCCCGATCCTCTCACCATTAAGATAACCATCAAATGTGTAGATTTTTCCAACTTTACGACCGTGTCAGAAGAGGTAGAAAACTAAATGGTCCGCTCATGTTCTCCAAGCATAATTCAGAAAATCAATGGTGGATATAAAATAGAAAATGGCGACTTTGAAATTCAAAATGGCGAAGGTTAAATACCTGAATGAGTTTACTCCTGGTTTCCTGCGCTTGACGCGAGATCTTATTAACAGCTCGACACTCGTAGCTTCCCTCGTCATCGTAGATCAAGCGATCGATTACTAGATCCCTCTCCTCTCCTCGAACCACCAAACCTGAAAATGAAAAACCTTATTTCCCCCTTTCCTGCCATTTTTTCCCCAAGAAAACATCCTTCTTTAAATAGAACTTGACCGAGTATATTAATAGGTTTCCGCCATGATCTAATTACTAGGGTTATTACTGGGGGCTTGAGGGAGGGGGGGTACCTGCTGATGTATACTGTATCCACTTGTATGTCGGAGCAGGATTTCCAGTAGCGGAGCAAGTTAGAACCATCTTGCTCCCGTACACACTCCGAACCTTGGAACTAGGACCAACCGAATCAATCACAGGAGCAACTAAAAACAAATGTTAGATACAAATCTAGAATAATACTTTTTTTGTGGTTTTTACTCTTCCAGAAAATACAAAGCTAACAATTTTACCACAATTTTTTAAACGGACTGTGTCATATATGTTTATTGTGGGTTCTGTCTGTATCTGTATATCCCAGAGATAAACCTGGGTCCTGTACGTAGCTAGGTACCCGGAGTTGATTAGTTCTTAACTACATGGGAGTAAAGAAACCGCGTGAAATAAACAGGTTCGGATCAAATTGCAAATCTTCTAGATGCCGACATTCTTTTATCTTCTAGACTATAAGAAGTATTTTAATTAATGATAAAAATACCACCCTACGCGCACTTTATCAGGTCTGTAACTAAGCTAAGTGGTCTGAACACACTTGACAATTAAAAAACCTCCCCCCCCCCCACTCCCCCTAAACTCAGACCCTGATACTATGGGTGGGTTTGGTTAGTTTAAAATGATGAGGGTTACCCAATCTATGTAAGTATTAGTTTCCTTTACAGGGTGACCCAAAAAAATTTATCAATTAGAATCCCCAAATGCATCCTATAATCATAATTCTATAATGTTTAGTAAATATTTTTTTGATAAATAAAAAGTACTAATTCTAACGCCTTCTTTATTTGTATTTAGGCCAAGGTGTTGGAATTACATTTCAAGGTATATTATATTCTTCAAGTCAGAATTCCTGTGGTAATATTAATACCAACGAATTTTACTAATATCTTTAGTACGTGCACTCAACATTTGGTCTCTGTCTGTCTGTCTGTTTGTCTGTCCTTCTGTCAATGGGTGTCTGTTAAACTCCGCGGTATATTGCTACTGTTACCAAAAGAATAAAATATTTCCATGTTCTGTAATTAAACGCATTGTGTGAAGTGTTGAAAACTTTTCAGCTTTTCAAGTGTCAGGAAACTTGGAAATNTACGCCCCCCCCCCTTCTCAACTGACAACGGTTCCTCCCCTTCCGCTCCCTACCTAACCCTATCATGGTTTAAAACCTAATATCATAAATGAGACTACTATTGAGTTTGGGAAATAAGAAATAATTATTTTTTTTTTTCATGACACTTTTCCATATAATATTTTAAATTCTAAGAATTTGTAGATATGAAAAAGTACTCCTTAAAAATTGTTAATTGGTTTAAAGATATTGATAATGTACTGTGTGAGTTCTCTTTTCGCGGATTCTGGGTTTTTAAGTTGCGCAAACATGTTTATTGAATGCCGAGCACTTTGTTTGTCGGCTACGAGCGTTAACAGAATTCTTTTCAGTTTATAATTGATGAAATTGTTATGCTTGGCTCTATTGTGTTGAAACCCGATAGTATCAATTATTTTGAATAGACAATTCTCCGTCAAAGTCTGTCTTGGAGGTAACTATCTAGCTCCGTCAGTTTTACTATTAAAGATAGATAGATAGAACTAGCTCCGTCAGTTTTAGTATTAAAGATAGATAGATAGAACTAACTCCGCAAGTTTTAGTATTGTAGATAGATAGATAGAACTAGCTCTGTCCTGTTTTAGTATTATAGAAAGATAGATATATAGAACTAGCTCCGTTCAGTTTTAGTATTATAGATAGATAGATAGATAGATAGATAGATAGATAGATAGAACTAACTCTGTCCAATTTTAGTATTATAGATAGATAGGTATATTTGAAACTTGCTCCCTCAGGTTTTAGTATTTTAAATAGATAGATAAATAGAACTAGCTCCGTCTAGTTTTGGTATTTCAGATAGATAGAACTATAGCTCCGTAAATTAAAATATTGAGTTTTAGGAAATAAATAGAGTATGAAGTAAAACAACGTATTTGAAAATAGATAAAATATAGGAATTAACTCCATAGGTCGGACAACAAGTGGGAGGCCGGGGGGGGGGGGGGTGGGTAAATGATCCTTATGATTTAATCTTGATGGTTTAAGGTTCAAACAATGGAGTTGTGAATGTAAAATCTACATACTAATCAGGGTTCACCTGTACCCACAATATTTACAGATAATACAGGGATATATACAACCTCCCTTTCCTTGATTAGTATAATGTATGAAAGCCTACTCTGCCCTGTCAAATATTTACAAATACTGTGGAGTAAAATTGGTCGCCATATTAATGTTTGTTTTTCTCTTCTTATATACCTAGGTTTCCCAGGATTTATATATTTGTTTGTTTGTCAGTATATTTGTCTGTCTGTTGGCTAATCTGTCTTATAATGTGTCTAGGAATGTATGATAAAGCTTAGTAGTAGTTTTTATAATCTACAGGTTGACCCATAAATCTGTGGAATAAGATGACGAGTTTTAGATTCAAGGTATGATTTGAAATAATCTAATGAACACATGAAACACAGCAATTGTGCAGTGTATATCGACCTATTTCGATAAATAAATTGAATTTTAAGCCACTAGTAAACCCATTTGCTTTAAAGCAACATAAAAACCCATATGATTGCTTAAATATCGTCTTCCTATTCCCCAGTTTTATAAATTACACTGTAACTGGAACTCGAAAAAGATATATAGTAAATGCTATTGTTAAAAATAATTTATAATACTTACATAAAACATCAATATCCACGAACTGCGGGTTGCTGGAGCCAAGGGTGTTGTTGGCCTGACAGAAGTACCTCCCCGCCTGCTCCCTCTCCACCCTGAGCAACTCGAAACCTGCCGTCCTGCTCACGATCTCTCCTGATCCGTCCCTGTACCAGATTATACTGGAGGACGGGTTACTATCCACAACACAGCTCAGGGTTACAGTGGAACCTTCCTCCAGGTTCCTCAGAGGGCTGGACTTTGTTATTTTTACCTCAGGAGCATCTAGACAGATACAGATACAGATACAGATACAGATACAGATACAGATACAAATACAGATACAGATACAGATACAGATACAAATGCGGCTACAAAGAAGATAGAGATAAATCAGTCTAAAATGAGAAATGATTGGGTTTTAAATTGACAGGTTATTAGATTTCTTTCCACGAATCTGAGGCAGGATAATTTCCTGTTTACATTTCCTGTCTCAGTGTATACTGGTATATCAAGATAGAGATGATAAAATATATGGAGCAATGATTGATTAAACGAATTTAAAATGAATATATTTGGGATAAATAAATTAGAATATTGTTGTGACTGTTTATTAAATGAATATAAATATAAGGATAGCGATGAATAGATGTATGAAGCAAGAAAGGGTGAATAGATGAGTGAATGAATGTCAGTTTTGACAAATAGACAATGACGGATCACTGCATTATATATTATTAACATGTACAAGAATGAGAGTGATAATAAATATATAAAAATATATATATATATAAAGTATAAATATGTAGAAAGGGAGACAGAGATTGTGGGATAGAAGAGAGAGCGAAGAACAAAATCTGATTTTCTAATATATTTGCAACTTGATTGTGAAAAACCTTAAAATTTAAAACTTGACTGTTTAATCTAACAAAATTCATTGTTTGAAATATCAAATGTCTATTCACAATCAGGTTAAAAAGATATAAAGATTATAAAATTAGAATTTGTGGGGAGCTTTTTGTTCATTTGATATAGAGAAAAAAATGACAAAAAAATATGTTCAGAAACACATTGTAGTAGTTGAAGAATCCAAATAAGATTTATAAAATTGATTAAAAGTAACAATCCCAGATTGGAAACTGTTATTCCGATCCTGGATCCTATAGTTTCCTATAGATTCCTATAAAATGAATATTTCCTGCTGTTTTCTTGGAACACGACGAGGCAGAATAAATAGCTTTAGAAATCCATACTTGTACTTTGCCATAGATAGATAGATAAAAAGACAGATAGGACAGATAAATTGATAGATTGGTAGATAGATAAGAAAGTAGTTAAATATGTTTTTTAAATGTCAAAAATAAAAAAGAAAGACAAAGAAGCTGATCTAATAATCCAATTAGGAAAGATGTCAATATTTCTAAGTTTTTATTTGAAAAAAAAATAAAAAGGTTTGTTAAGTAGAGAAAAACAATGATCAAGAAAAAAAAGATGGCTGATTTTTTGAAGAAAAAAAATTTAAATGTCAAAATAAAATGGCGATAAAGGTATAAGATGGAAGATCAGACCGAAGATGATAGAACGATAAATTGAGAATTTCAATCCTTTGACATTTTACCTAAGGGGGCCAAGCCCTCGTAAAAGAGAAATATGTGAAGAGAGTAAAACAGACGGATCAAAAGAAATATATAAATATGTAAACAAAGAATACATTCTTTAATATTTCCCCCTCCCACGTCTTCGATAGTTTTGCCTCCCAGCGATTGGTAACTTTTCCAGCAGCCCGTGTTCACCCACCCCTTCCCCTTCATGACAATAGTTTTCTTTGATGAATTTGAAATCAACTCTTTTAGATCCTTTGAATAATTTGAATCTAAATATATCAGTTGTTCCCTGTATAGCATTACGATACTTTAACTTGACATTACATTTATATAATATTGGATTTTCTAATTGATATCCCAACAAGTTAAATTATTACCCCTCCTGCTACACCCTGCTCTCACCCCCCCCCCCCCTCCGGAATAAACGAATATGATGATATCTATTCTTTACTCAATACAATATATTGATGATCCGCATTCATCATTTATTTATTTACTTTCATATTTGCGTTCCTTACATCAATAAACAGAGTATAAGTACTACACCTCACTAAACCTGGTATTTTTCAGGAAACAAAAGATGAAAACCTGTTGGTAAAATAAAAGAAAGGTATCATCCCAACTGATCTTGAGGAAATGGACCTAAAATTTTCCGACCTCATCCTACCTAAAGTTGATGAGAACTTTAAATGAGCTATGAAGAGAAAACACTGAAAGGCCTTTGAAGGTTTGATAAAGAGTAGAATGTTAAGATATATTCTCCAGGTCCTAATATCACTCTGCTCCAACCCTTCACTCCTTGTCACTGTGTCAAGCTTGCAGTTTCTATATTATATTAGAGAACCCTTTCCGTCAACATTCATTTTTACCCCCGACCACAAACTTTTATCATAAAAGAAGTGAAGTTGTGCCCATAAATAGGGGGAAATCTTGGATTACCAGGGGAATTCTTTCCCCCTTTCCCCCTACCTAGATATTTGTTACAGTGTTTAGTAACAGTGCTCAATTTAATGGAAAAACTCCGTGCTAGTTTGGTTGAGTAGGTTGGCGGGGTAGACAACTTGAAATTATTTTATTGCCAAAAAGGATATTCTGTAAATCTTTATAGTTCCCTCCCCTACCCACAAAACTATCAAAAATTGAATGATATTATATTTCTGCCTAAAATATTCAGGATCAAGTTGCAAATTCTTTAGTTCCCCTCTCATTCTCCCCTACTGTAGACCTACCCTTGATTAAACCTTCCCCTCTCATTCTTCCCTACTGTAGACCTACCCTTGATTAAACCTTCCCCTCTCATTCTTCCCTACTGTAGACCTACCCTTGATTAAACCTTCCCCTCTCATTATTCCCTACTGTAGACCTACCCTTGCTTAAACCTTCCCCTCTTATTATTCCCTACTGTAGACCTACCCTTGATTAAACCTTTCCCACTCATTCTTCCTTACTGTAGACCTACCCTTGATTAAACCTTCCCCTCTCATTCTTCCTTACTGTAGACCTACCCTTGATTAAACCTTCCCCTCTCATTCTTCCTTACTGTAGACCTACCCTTGATTAAACCTTCCCCTCTCATTCTTCCTTACTGTAGACCTACCTTTGATTAAACCTTCCCCTCTCATTCTTCTCTACTGTAGACCTACCATTGATTAAACCTTCCCCACTAATTATTCCATAATATAGCCCTTCTCTTGGTTAAACATTCCTCTTTTTCCATACTATAGCCCTACCTTTAATTGATTATTCCTTCTCTTCTCCTTCTTCCTTACTATAGACCTTCCTTCCTTAGTCCTTCCCTTTCTTATATTTCTTGTCCTTAAATTCATACATTTCTTCTATCTCTGTCACCTTGATTATCCACCGCCCCAATCTAATAGTAGTATTCTTTTTCCTTATTCCTTCCCCACCGCCCCCCTCCCCCTTCCTCCCCCTTCCGCTTCCTTCCTACTGTATTCAATACTAAGTATGCAAATCAAAGCGGAAATACTTGAAACAGAATAACAAGCAAAAACTAGTAAAGGTAGATAGAACCAAGCAGAGCGTACAAGGTATACAGATAAACTTTAGACAGCGCTTTTACAAAACAAATCAGAACTCAGAAAGGATCATCTAAAGTTTCTTGGAAATAAAAAATGTACTTACATTGAATGTCTAGGAAAGATTTAACATCCACCATCTTCGTGAGTGCGGGGTGCTTCGCTTCACATCGAACACTTTTCCCATGCTCGCCCCTCGTCATTGAAAGATGGATTGTTGAAACAAAATCGCCCGCGGCATTCTGACCCGACTGCGCTTCCGCCATTTCTCTTTCTCCCAGATACCATTTCAGCTTTGGGGGAGGATTACCGCCTTTTGCAACGCAATCTAAACTCTCCTCCGACCCCTCCGGCGCACTGATAGCTCCCAAAATTGGAGTTCCAGTTTTTGATACTCGTAGATGGACCGAGGTTGGGGGCTCTGAAAGAAAAATTTAATGAACAGTGTGTCGAAACGGGTCGTAAAACATTGAAATTTTCTCAAGATAAGATAAGAGAGTATTTAGTATAATTTGGATAGATAAGATATGAAGGGCTAAAACCTCAAATTAGGGAGTAGCTGTAGATATGAGCTTACTCTTGTTAGTCATTACTTGATGATGACTTTGGTCACGCATCCAAACAGTAACGGGGTAAAATCTTAAAGGGGATGGTGGAGTTGGCACATTTGATGTAGGGGGGGGGGGGCCTGCCTTCATTTTTGGTTCAAATCTTCCAATTTTTTGGGTGCACGCCTAATTAGTGATCGAAATTCCTAAAATAAAATCAAATTGAATTTTAATGACCTCTAATGACCTCTAATG